AGGAAGCAGTGGCCTGATGACCAGCAGGGGAAGGGGTTTCAGCTGTTCACAGACAGGACACAGTCCAGCCCTGTGGCGGGCGTGAAAACACGGCCCGTTGGCCAGAGGAGGGCTTTCAGCAGCAGAGGGTGGGGGGGCCGTGAGCTGCTGGATCTGCTCCCCAAGTACCCGGCCCCAGCCCTCCAGCCCCTCCTCTGGCTCCAGGGGAGGCTGGGGGCCTGGAGGCCACAAGCCACCAGGTTCTAACAGGACAGGAGAGCCGGCTTCTGCTTCTGTTCCCAGTGAGACTCGTCTAGTGGGACCTGCTGGGTCTCATGCTGGAGCCTGGGGATGCCCCATGGGCTTCATGCCACCAGGACCCGGCCCTGGGGTGGAGGTGGGGGTATCCTGCTTAGTTGGGGGTGGGCCTTGCTGGGTGGGCTTGAGAAACTTCAGCAGGCCCTGGGGACCAACAGGAGCTGACCCCGGAGCCCAGGGGCCCTCACGGAGCAGCTGTTCTGTTCCCACTGTGCTCACCTCTGCCGGGCCCCGTGCAGGGCCCTGCAGAAGGGACAAGAGGGACCGTCAGCTGCCATTGCCATCGTGAAGTGGCGGGGGACACCTGCAGGAGGTGCAGGGCCCTGAGCTGGGGCGGGAGCGGACACACGGCCAGGGACACACGCAAGGCCTGGATCCTAGGGCAAACCCAGGACTGTGGCTTCTGCCCACCCTGGGTGCCCTGGGGGTGGAGGGCAGGCCCACTGCCCCACAGAGGGACCCCAACCCAGCTCCCCCAGCCCCTGCTGCCCCCAGAGCCGGGGGTGGGGCCAGAGAAGGGTCTGCTCCACTCTGAGGGGGTGGAGGCTACTGCCTGAAAAAACAACGCACAATGTGAGAGCTGGCAGTTAGGTTTTATTTGGGGCAAAATGAAGACTGCAGTCCAGGAGATAGCACCTCAGATAGCTCTGAGAGCCTGCTCCAAAAAGGCAAGGGAAAGGTCAGTGCAAACATGACTCTGGTGAAGGGGGGTACGTGCAACCAGGCTCACATTTTTGCAGGTTTCAGCTGGTCTTGTGATGCTTCTGTGAGTCACGAGGAGCAGTCGTCACCGTGAAGGATTTTAGTGCTTTTCTAGATCTGAGGAGATATAAGAGTCGGGCTCATAAAGTCGGCTCCTGAGCATACCTCACCGTCCGAGGCCTGTTCTGCGTTTCCCACCGCCTCCGCCCCCGCCCAGGCCCTCATTCCTGCTCCACGCCTGAGCTCCTTCAGGGGGTGTTAAAGGTCAGAGGCCACAGCGGCCCACAGTTTAACCCGCGTAGAGGTGGATCGCAAGCGTCAGCATGTGCACGTGTGGGTGGCAAGGCCACGCGGGCCTGGGTTCCTGCTGCTCTCAGCTGTCCAGCCCCCCTCCAGGAAGGCCCATGGAGTGGTCCTCATGTGAACACATGAGGAGACTATCTAGGCTGTGCTCCCCCCTCCAGGCGGGCTGTGCTCCCTCCTCCAGCTGGGCTGTGCTCCCCCTTCCAGCTGGGCTGTGCTCCCCCCTCCAGCTGGGCTGTGCTCCCCCTTCCAGGTGGGCTGTGCTCCCCCTTCCAGGCGGGCTGTGCTCCCTCCTCCAGCTAGGCTGTGCTCCCCCTCCAGCTGGGCTGTGCTCCCCCCTCCAGCTGGGCTGTGCTCCCCCCTCCAGCTGGGCTGTGCTCCCCCTTCCAGGTGGGATGTGCTCACCCCTCCAGGCGGGCTGTGCTTCCTCCTCCAGGCGGGCTGTGCTCCCTCCTCCAGCTGGGCTGTGCTCCCCCTTCCAGCTGGGCTGTGCTCCCCCCTCCAGCTGGGCTGTGCTCCCCCTTCCAGGTGGGCTGTGCTCCCCCTTCCAGGCGGGCTGTGCTCCCTCCTCCAGCTAGGCTGTGCTCCCCCTCCAGCTGGGCTGTGCTCCCCCCTCCAGCTGGGCTGTGCTCCCCCCTCCAGCTGGGCTGTGCTCCCCCTTCCAGGTGGGATGTGCTCACCCCTCCAGGCGGGCTGTGCTCCCCCCTCCAGCTGGGCTGTGCTCCCTCCTCCAGGCGGGCTGTGCTCCCTCCTCCAGGCGGGCTGTGCTTCCTCCTCCAGGCGGGCTGTGCTCCCCTCTCCAGCTGGGCTGTGCTCCCCCTTCCAGGCGGGCTGTGCTCCCCCTTCCAGGTGGGCTGTGCTCCCCCCTCCAGCTGGGCTGTACTCCCCCTTCCAGGTGGGCTGTGCTCCCCCCTCCAGCTGGGCTGTGCTCCCCCTTCCAGGCGGGCTGTGCTCCCCCTTCCAGGCGGGCTGTGCTCCCTCCTCCAGGCGGGCTGTGCTCCCCCTTCCAGGTGGGCTGTGCTCCCCCCTCCAGCTAGGCTGTGCTCCCCCTTCCAGGCGGGCTGTGCTTCCTCCTCCAGGCGGGCTGTGCTCCCTCCTCCAGGCGGGCTGTGCTCCCTCCTCCAGCTGGGCTGTGCTCCCCCTTCCAGGTGGGCTGTGCTCCCCCTTCCAGGCGGGCTGTGCTTCCTCCTCCAGGCGGGCTGTGCTCCCCTCTCCAGCTGGGCTGTGCTCCCCCTTCCAGGCGGGCTGTGCTCCCCTTCCAGGTGGGCTGTGCTCCCCCCTCCAGCTGGGCTGTACTCCCCCTTCCAGGCGGGCTGTGCTCCCCCTTCCAGGCGGGCTGTGCTTCCTCCTCCAGGCGGGCTGTGCTCCCCCCTCCAGCTGGGCTGTGCTCCCCCTTCCAGGCGGGCTGTGCTCCCCCTTCCAGGCGGGCTGTGCTCCCTCCTCCAGGCGGGCTGTGCTCCCCCTTCCAGGTGGGCTGTGCTCCCCCCTCCAGCTAGGCTGTGCTCCCCCTTCCAGGCGGGCTGTGCTCCCCCTTCCAGGCGGGCTGTGCTTCCTCCTCCAGGCGGGCTGTGCTCCCCTCTCCAGCTGGGCTGTGCTCCCCCTTCCAGGCGGGCTGTGCTCCCCCTTCCAGGCGGGCTGTGCTCCCCCTTCCAGGTGGGCTGTGCTCCCCCCTCCAGCTGGGCTGTACTCCCCCTTCCAGGTGGGCTGTGCTCCCCCCTCCAGCTGGGCTGTGCTCCCCCTTCCAGGCGGGCTGTGCTCCCCCTTCCAGGCGGGCTGTGCTCCCTCCTCCAGGCGGGCTGTGCTCCCCCCTCCAGGTGGGCTGTGCTCCCCCCTCCAGCTAGGCTGTGCTCCCCCTTCCAGGCGGGCTGTGCTTCCTCCTCCAGGCGGGCTGTGCTCCCTCCTCCAGGCGGGCTGTGCTCCCTCCTCCAGCTGGGCTGTGCTCCCCCTTCCAGGCGGGCTGTGCTCCCCCTTCCAGGCGGGCTGTGCTTCCTCCTCCAGGCGGGCTGTGCTCCCCTCTCCAGCTGGGCTGTGCTCCCCCTTCCAGGCGGGCTGTGCTCCCCCTTCCAGGTGGGCTGTGCTCCCCCCTCCAGCTGGGCTGTGCTCCCCCCTCCAGGCGGGCTGTGCTCCCCCCTCCAGCTGGGCTGTGCTCCCCCTTCCAGGTGGGCTGTGCTCCCCCCTCCAGCTGGGCTGTGCTCCCCCTTCCAGGTGGGCTGTGCTCCCCCCTCCAGGCGGGCTGTGCTCCCCCTTCCAGGTGGGCTGTGCTCCCCCTTTCAGGTGGGCTGTGCTCCCCCCTCCAGGCGGGCTGTGCTCCCCCTTCCAGGTGGGCTGTGCTCCCCCTTTCAGCTGGGCTGTGCTCCCCCCTCCAGGCGGGCTGTGCTCCCCCCCTCCAGGCGGGCTGTGCTCCCTCCTCCAGGCGGGCTGTGCTCTCCCCTCCAGCTGGGCTGTGCTCCCCTCTCCAGGTGGGTTGTGCCCCCTCCTCCAGGTGGGCAGCCAGGGGGTCCGGAGGAGGCTGGGGAGGGCGGTGTGAGGAGGACCAGGCACAGTGTCTCCCATTTAGGAAGCAACATGCTCCCACCAGCAGGAGCTCGTGCCCTCTGGGCGGGCTGGGAAGCCCAGGTGCCCCCACCAGCCCACTCTGGGCAGTAACCTCATTGGCTGCGGGCTCCAGGCCTCTGATGTGATTCTCTGTGCTGCAAAAGCAGCCCTGCCGCTCTCAATGGGCTCCTTGATTTGATTCTGGGTCCTCTGCCGGCCTGCCCAGGCCCCGGGGCCCCTACCAGGCCCCGCTAACACGTTTAGCCATTTGTTGACCAAGTGAGCTTTTCGGAGGCCGGCGGCTCCGTCTCCAGGAGCTGTCACTTCTCCTTAGAGACAGAACATGAGGCCCCTCACGCACGTTCCCCCATCCCGCCTGCCCCCAGCCCTGCGCCCGCGGTCTCCGACAGCCAAGGAGGGCCAGCCTCACCTGGCAGCTCGTGAGAATGCAGAGCCTCAGGCCCTCCGGGGCTCCACGTAAGGCTCGCCTGCCAGCAAGAGCCCACGGGACCCAGTGTCCCTTGCGAGCCCAAGGCGCCCTTTTGGAAGGACCACTCTGCCCTCCTCAGACTTCTCCCCGGCCCACGGAGGAGGCATCCACGCACAGCCACGGCCCTCCTCCGGAACACGTGCCGGGAGCCCAGGACCCCAAATGCCCGCCCCATGGTCCCGAGCCCACCTCCAGGACCCGCGAGAGCCCCTGCCCCAGGCCTGTGTGCAGGGGTGCACCGCTGCCTGCAGGAGACGTGGAAGCCCCCTCACCGAGGATGGTACAGAACTCCGAAGGCTTAGACACGTGAGTGAGGGGGCCTCAGTCAGCCCTTCGCCCAGGCCCTGCAGGGCTTCCCAGGTGGCACTAGTGGTAAACAACCCGCCTGCCAAGGCAGGACACAGAAGAGACACAGGTTCGATCCCTGGGTGGGGAAGATCCCCTGGAGGAGGGCACGGCAACCCACTCCAGTACCCTTGCCTGGAGAATCCCAGGGACAGAGGAGCCTAGAGGGCTCAGACAGTCCACGGGGTCACAGACAGTCGGACACGACCATGGGGTCCACGGGGTCACAGACAGTCGGACACGACCGAAGCGACTTAGCACACATAGCACCAGGCCCTGAAATGCTGGGCATGCCTGCCACAGGCGGTTCATCCCTCCACCCACACCTTCACTCCTTTATTCTCCCAATACGTACTGGGTGTCTAGAATGTGCCGGGCACTGCCCCGGGCTCAGAGCACTACAAAAGCGTGGCAGAACACCCAACCCCACGGAGCCGCCATCCTGGAGGAGGCAGCAGACAAAGGAAGGAGGCCCGGGAGTGCTGGCTGGTGCGAGCATGGAGACAGCTGGCACGGGAGGTGCCAGAAGCCCTGCTGAGAAGGAGCCTGGCAGAGAAAGGCCTGAGGAAGGCGGCCCTGGCACCCGAGGAGCTGTGTGTGTCCGGGAGTCAGTTTGCAGGGTTAAAGCTGCGTGAATATTCAACTGGACAGGAAAAGACCAACATGCTTCCTGAGCAGGCCGGGCCTGCGTGCACACCAAGCCCTGCTCTGGGAGAGCTCTTTTTGGAACAGGGCCTTCCAACTCCATCTGGTCAGACTCCCCGACTTTCGCAAGTTCGCGTTTCCCACAGGACAGTGAAAAAGGCCCTTCCTCTTCGTGGTCAGGGGTCACTATTTCCCTCTCTGCTCCTCAGCTACTCAGGCCTTTCGCCCATTTTTATATTGGGCCATTGGCTTTTCCTCACACATATTGATACATAAGTATGTATACGTATAATGTAATGTACCTTGAAAATTGCTAAATAATCATCATTTGAAATTTATGTACATTGCACGCGTCTTTACGGGGCTTTCCCAGGGCTCAGCAGGTGAAGAATCCGCCTGCAGTGTAGCAGACACAGGAGATACAGATTTGACCCCTGGGTCGGGAGGATCCCCTGCAGGAGGAAAGGGCAGCCCACTCCAGGATTCTTGCCTGGGGATTCCATGGACAGAGGAGCCTGGCGGGCTACAGTCCGTGGGTCACAGAGTCGAACATGACTAAAGCGACTTAGCACGCAGGCATGAACTGCGTATTTGAAAGTTGCTAAGAGGGTAGATAAGTCTCAAAAGTTCTCATCACAAAGAAAAAAATTCCCAACTATGTGAGGTAAAAATACACAAATTGCTTCAGTCACTTAATTGGAAATATTTTCTCCATCTCCCCACTAGACTGTTGTGATTGTGAACTATCATTTGTATGAATTCTAATATTTTGGCATTCAGTTACTTTAGTATTGAACCCTTTTATTTTACCCTAGCTGGCTTCCCTGGTGGCTCAGAAGGTAAGGAATCCGCCTGCAAGGCAGGAGATGTAGGTTTGATCCCTGCATCAGGAAGATCCCCTAGAGAAGGGAATGGCAACCCGCTCCAGTATTCTTGCCTGGAGAATCCCATGGACAGAGAAGCCTGGCGGGCTACAGTCTACGGGGTCGCAGAGTCAGACATGACTGAGCAACTAACACACACATGTGAGGTGATGGATATTAATTAAACTTGTGGCCATGATGTCACAATATGTACATATATTAAATCACTATGCTATACATCTTAAATTTGAACAATGTCATATGTCAAATATATTTCAATAAAACTAGAAACACACCAACATCTTTCTCTGGTGAGTGGCTTGTGTTTCCACATGGTGCTTTCTAATGAATGAAAGTTATGAATTCTGATATAGTCACTTTATGAAATATTTTCCACTATGGTTAATCTTTTTATGTCTGACCTAAATCTGGCCTTTTTATGTCGCAGTGTCTGCCTTATGACAAGGTCAGAAAAATTATCAGGTATTTTCATCTAAGATGGTATCTCATATTATTTCACACACTCACATTCCTGGGATAAACCCAACTTGGTCATGAGTGTCATCCCTTTTTAAAAATATACAGTTTACAGGATGCAGTTTGCTAATAATTTGTTTAGGATTTTTATATCCTTTCTTAAGAGACTGGACTAAAATGTGCTTCTTGAACTATTCTTGTCTGGTTTTGTTTTAAAAGTTGTGCTGGCTCCAGAATAATTTGGGAAGGTTTCCCCCTTTGTACAAGTCTGAAAAAATCATTCCTTAGAAGTTTGGTAGAATATATCTGAATAATGCCAGAAGTGAGTTGTCTTGCAGGACAATTTTCAGCTAATGGTCAAATGTCCTTAAATGTCATAGAAACGTTTGGTCTTCTCTTTTCTCTTGAATTAATTTTTCTAATTCCAATTTGTTCAATTGGAATAAGATTTCAAATTGAGTGGTTCACGATATTTTTATCTGTTAAAGCTTCCGTGTGAGATGGTTTCCCCTTTACATCCCTAATATTAATTTGTCCTTATCGCTCATCCTCCCCAACCCCCACCCCCTCAACAGCCGCTTTCCTTTTCCCAGTCACCAACCAGCTTTTGTCTTCGATTCTCCGGCTTTCATTTCCTATTGCATTAACTTCTGTACCTTTCATTTTGTTTTATTAATTTCTGCCTTTTCCTCCTCCTTTTATTAATTTAGCCCTTATTGTTTTTCTGATTTAAGTTGGACACCTGCCTATTTTCTTTTTTTCTTTTCGTCTTCTAAGGCGACACAGCTTCCCCTGACCCACCTGGCACTGTCCCACACGCGTGTCACACACACGTGTGTCGAACACAAAAGCGTCGCACGGAGGACCTCCATCACAGTCCAGTTCTGTTTCCAGTTTCCATGACGCTTCATGCTTTGACTCAGGCATCGTTTGGAAGTGTTTGATTCTTGATTTTTCAAATAAATGGAGATTCTAAAAGACGATTTTTACAATTTGAAATCATTAAGAGTATCTTCTCAATATTGTTTTCACTTCTGTGAAAACAGTTAATTGTGCTTTGATCCGAAAACGTGGTTCGTATGGCATCATTTCACGGAAACCGCTGTGCTCCGTCCGTGTTGTGACAAGCAGTTCCTTTCTGCCCGTTCCGTGTGCACTGGGGCCGGGAGGGCCGCTCTGGGGTCCGGGTGCCTGACGGCGGGGGTGTGGGGGTGTCCACTCTCACTGGGCAGCGAAGCCTGCAGGCCGGGCGGGAGTGTGGGACGGACCGCCTCCCCACCGCCCCCGGGCCTCGCCCAGCCCCTCCCAGCCCTGCGCAGTGCGACCCCAGGGTGGGCGTCTCCGTGGGGAGGGTCTCCCTGTTCTCCGCCCCCGCCCCCACTTGCTCAGGGTCGGGGGCGGGGCTCTTCCTCATGGGGGTTGCAGGGGGCGATTGCTCGAGACTCACCCGGGGCTCTGCAAGCCCCTCCGCCCCGACCCACCAGCCCGGCCCGCTCGCCCGGGGGCGGGGCAGGTAAGCCCAGTGGGTCTGAGTCCTTCCGGTGCCGCCATCCGCGGGTGCTCGGCTTTTGGGTGGAGGAGTAAGTGCTGGTTAGGGCCCAGGGGGCTCCTGCCTCGCCCCCTCCCGCGTGTTCCTCCTGCCCCGCCCCTCGCGCCGCCCCCCACCCCCGGGACTGCAGGGCGGGCCCCCCACACCCTGTGTTCAGGAGTGAGGGTGAGCTCGGGGCTCCGGGCGGCTCTGCTTTCTGACGCTGCTTCGCTCCGCCCGGTCCCTGGGGGTCAGGCACTGTGCTCAGTCTTAGCTGATCTAGGGCGGGGACCCAGCCCGGACTTGGGCGGGTTGAGGGTGGGTAGGAGGACCCCACAGACAGCAAATGGGGGCTGGGGGTGGGGCGCCGGGAGTCAGGGGGGTGGGAGCCTCCCGTGTCTCCTGCGGTCGGGGTCGCGTGGTCTGCAGCCCTGTCCGGTGCCGCTCACGCCCGACGGCCGGTCAGTCTCTGGCCCCCACCTGCGAGGAGACCTGGCATCTGGAGTATGGGCTTCCAGAGCCTCTGAGCTTGTTGCCGGCCTCCAGACCCCTGACACCATGGGGCACACCCTGCCTTCACGCAGCTGAGAGATGGAGAAGATTGAGAAATCACCCAGTGACCTGGGACCAGGAGGCCCCGCCAGGCTCAGCGCGACGCACTGGCCCTGCTCAGCGGGCGGGACCCTGGGCAGCGGTGGGAGGAGACCTGCCCCCTCCTTCCTTAGCACCCCTGCCCAGGACTGGACAGACACCATGGCCGGCAGGCATGTCCACAGAGGCAGGTTACTGGGCTCAGCTTCCCTGGTCCTCCCTGCGGCAGAAGCCCAGGTCCCCAGTACCCGTCGGTCTGCACCCCGAGCCTGCCTGGCAGAGCCTCCCAGGAGCCTCTCCTGCTGGCCTTGGGGACAGGGGCACATGGCGGGGGCCTGCTTTCCATGCAGACTCCTGGCTGGGCCCCTCCCCGTCTGGCCTCAGCTGGTCCCCGGCTCTGCGACCATGGTCCTGAGACCCACTCTCCGGACCACGGAGGCGGCAGGAAGGCCAACAGGTGCGTCTCCACCTGCTGCGGAAGCAGGGACGGCCCCAGGCCGTGGCGGCCACTCCAGCAGGAGGCGTCTTCCGCCCTTGCACATGCTCCAGGCCTAAAAATAGACCTGTCCATCTGGACAGCTGCAGTGCCCGGTGAGGGGCTGCTGGTGGCTTTGCAGGAATTACCAGGCTGGCCATCAGTGCCCTCAGCCCCAGGCCGCCTCTGAGCCAGAGGCTGGTGGATCAGGGCCACCGGGCCCGCTCGCTAGTGAAGCGGCCCGGCCCCCGGTGTCCTCGTGCCCACTGAGGGGGCGCCCCCAGAAGGCTTCCAGGAAACAGGTGGCTCCCACTCTTTTCGGAGCTCAGGGGTTTCTCTGCACCCCTCAGAGGCCTTGGGCTCTGGCCAGGGCCGGGGCCTCCCAGGTCATCTCGGGGGGAGCAGGCCACCCCACATGCGGGACGGTGAGGGACCCAGAACCCCGGCGGGCAGCGGTCTGGTTACTGCAGTGCCACCGACAGGCCCTGCTGTGTGTCAGGCTGAGGAGAGGAAGCCGGAGACCCTGGGCCAGGAGGAGGGGTCTCCAGGTGGGAGTGGAGAGGGGGCAGGAAATGGAGCCCCAGGGCCCGGGGATCCCAGTGGCCTGATTTTCCCGAAGGCTGTGGGGGGCTTGGCGTCAGGAGGGAGGTTGCGGGTGAGGACGGGTAGGGTGCCTGTTGGAGAAAGGGGTGGGGCCCGCCGGGGGCCGAGGGGACGGAGGGCCGGCCACCAGCGTGAGGGTGGGCGTCCAGGAGGCCCGCCTGTCCCCAGGGCCCTGGGGGAGAAGAGCCGTCTCCACAGCCCCCATGGGGGCTGCCTCCCTGCTGTGGCCGCGGCGCGGTGGGCGTCCGCGACCTATGCCAAGGGCGCCGCTGTTGGACGCTGCTCTGCCGGAATGCCGCCCCTCCCCGCGGCGGTGATGGCTTATCGGTTGCCGCGGGCTCTCACACACCCCGGAGACCACAGGGGGGCGCTGCACGCGTGCTCCCTCTGAATGGCAGGCAGCAGCTGGGGGCCCGGGCCACCTGCCCGTGTCCTTTCTGGGCCTGCTGGAGGCAGGCCCGGGGTGCTTCGCCTTGGATCTGCGGTCTGTGATGGACGCCGCTAATCCCGGGGCCGCAGTGCTCAAGCCCTGGCTGCCGGGGCCCTCAGGATCCAGTTCTCAAGGGGGACGATGGTGAGCAGCCTCCACATGAGGCGCAGGGCGGGCAGACGGCAGGTGGCCAGGGGCACACGCTCCCCAGCTTCCTCACACGGGCGTCTGCCTTCATCAGGTGGCCTCTAGCCGCTCCAACGTAACACACACGAAGCACGGTCGTGTAGCACACACGTGCACACACACACATACACAAATATAAACACACTGCACACGAATATGCACACCCACACACGCATACACACTCACATATGCAGACATACACAAACACACCAAACACATGGACACGCTATCGTACACACATATACACCTGCACAAGTGCCTTCACATCCATATACGCACATCTACATACATGTGGGCTCATGCTTGTGCACACATGCGTGCATAGGTACGGCCCACATGTGTGTGCACATATGTACCCACATGCACCCATGTGCCCACACCCAAAAAACCCACTTGGGCCTGTAAAAAGAATCCTCCATCCTGAGAGATGGAGAGCATTGCAACCAAGGTGAAAATGGAAAACACAGTTTGCAAAATATTTTCTAGTAGAAAGGAGTATATATTTGAGTGTCTGCTTCGTGCTTTCATTAAAAATCAAGAATAAATGTATAAGGACACCAGAGACGAACAAGGTCTCAGTGGGATAAGGTGTGATTTAAAAGGAGAGCAGCTGCCGAAAGTTCAAGCAGAACGAAAGGGTCACCGGTAGCACGTGAACAGAGGCCTGGGAGCCACTGGGAGGGGAGGGAACCGGACAGGCAGACAGCGGCGCCCCCCCTCCTGCCTCAAGACGGGACGCTAGACCAAGGGTACAGAGAGGAGGACGTCCTGAAATTGCAAAAATTTGTAGTGAGCTTTTAAATCAATTACACATGGCATTAGTCTAAGTATTTGTATTTGGTTACAAAGCTAAACTAAATGTCAAAAACAATTCTTAAAAAATAACACAGTAGCATACAAATAATAAGTGAAGTCATGCATAACACTATTACAGTGTTTGTACATCTCAAAGAAGGGGGTGATTTTCTAGGAAAATGTGCTTTTCCAGAATTGTCTCATGAGGAAACTTGAACACTGTAATAAATGAGTAAGTAACCATGGACTAAACTGAAAGGACTGCCAAAGAATTATTCACAGAGGTGCCAGACCAATACAATTTTATGGGTGAATTATCCACTCCCATCACTTCATGGCAAATAGATGGGGAAACAATGGAAACAGTGACAGACTTTATTTTCTTGGGCTCCAAAATGACTGTGGATGGTGACCACAGCCATGAAATTAAAAGATGCTTGCTCCTTGGAAGAAAAGCAATGACAAACCTAGACAGCGTATGAAAAACAGAGACATTATTTTGCTGACAAAGGTCCATCTAGTCAAAGTTCTGTTTTTCCAGTAGTCACGTACAGATGTGAGAACTGGACAATAAAAAAGGCTGAGCACTAAAGAATTGATGTGTTAGAACTGTGGTGTTGGAGAAGACTCTTGAGAGTCCCTTGAATAGCAAGGAGGTCAAGTCAGTCAATCCTAAAGGAAATCAACCCTGAATATTCAAGGTTGGAAGGACTGATGCTGAAGCTGAAGTTCCAGTACTTTGGCCACCTGATGCAAAGAGCTGACTCACTGGAAAAGACCCTGATGCTGGGAAAGACTGAGGACAAGAAGAGAAGGGGGCAAGAGGAGATGATTGGAAGGCATCACCAACTCGATGGACGTGAGTTTGAGCAAACTGCAGGAGATGGTGAAGGACAGGGAAGCCTAGCATGCTGCAGTCCATGGGGTCGCAAAGAGTCAGACATGACTGAGTGAACAACAACCTTTAAAAATTTTAAGGAACAGATATTTTCAGTGCCATACGGTGGTTTAGTTGCTCAGTGGTGTCCGACTCTTACGACACCATGGATTGTAGCCCTCCAGGCCAGGCTCCTCTGTCCACGCGATTTCCCAAGTGAGAATTCCGAAGTGGGCTGCCATCTCCTCCTCCAGGCGTGCGTGTGTGTGTGTGTGCGTGTGTGTGTGCGCATATATATGTATATGTATGTGTGTGTGCGTGTGCATATATATGTATATGTATATATATATCAACTGATTAATGAAAAATATAGGAAACTTCCCAATTAATTTTATCCCTCTAGATCAAACCAGTCAATCTTAAAGGAAATCAACCCCGAATACTCATTGGAACGACTGATGCTGAAGCTGAAACTCCCGGTACTTTGGCCACCTGATTTGAAGAACTGACTCATTGGAAAAGATCCTGATGCTGGGAAAGATTGAGGGCAAGAGGAGAAGGGGACAACAGAGGATGAGATGGTTGGGTGGCATCACCAATTCAATAGACGTGAACTTGGGCGAACTCCAGGAGATGGTGAGGGACAGGGAAGCCTGGCGTGCTGCAGCCCATGGGGTCTTGAAGAGTTAGACACGACTCGGCAACTGAACAACAACAATGATTCAACTTTAAATGTTAATTTAGCATAGCTAGCATTATAAGAAAACCCTTTTGATAACAATCTCAATTACGAATGCAAATATAAAAATTCCAAATAAATTCTTAGCAAATTAAGTTGTCACCATCTTAAATTAACCATACATTGAGTGCATTAATTTTATCCTTCTTAGGCAAGGATGAGTTAAAATTATATCATCTAAATTATATCAATAATCATTAGAAATATGATAGTTTGATTATCAATAGACACTACAAAAGACATTGATGATACTTATTATTCATTAACCTAAATGTTTAAAAATTTGTTTTTGAAGTATAGTTGATTTATGATGTGTTGATTTGTGCTGTACAGAAAAGTGATTCCGTTGTACATACTTATACATTCTTTCCCACTGTGGTTTGTCAAAGAACGCTGAATACGGTTCCCTGTGTTATAGAGTAGGGTCTTGCTGTCCACCTGTTCTCTAGAGAATACTGCATCTCCTCACCCTAAAATCCCCATCCTTCCCTCCCCCAAGCCCTCCCCCTTGGTAAACCCAAGACTGGCCTCCGTGTTCATCTGTTTCATAGATAAGTTCATTTGTGTCATATTTTAGATTTCACATGTAAGTGATGTCAGATGGGATTTGCTTTTCTCTGTCTGACTTCATTTAGGATGATAATCTCTAGGTCAGTCCATGCTGCTACAAATGGCACTGTTTCATTCTGTTTATGGCTGAGTAGTATTCCACTGTATATAGGTACCACATCTTCTTCATCCATTCATCAGTCAATGAACATTCATCATTAACCTTAATTTTAATCAAAGTAATATATATTTCAACTTTAAAACTCAAAACTGTCTGGGGTTTACGGCATAATGCTAACCCCTGTTACTTTTCTTTCTGCTCTTGAGAGGTCACCACTTTCAGCTTTCTTTAGAAATTCCTCCTGGTACTTACCAATCCATTTCTAAACAGCACATTTATCCCACCATGGGTTGATGTCTCAGTTTTAGGTGTTCTAAGCTTCCCCGGTGGCTCAGATGGTAAAGAACCTGCCTGAAGTGCAGGAGACCTGGGATCGATCCATGGGTCAGGTTGGGAAGATCCCCTGGAGAAGAGCACGGCAACCCACGCCAGTGTTCTTGCCTGGAGAATTCCACGGACAGAAGAACCTGGCGGGCTATGGTCCATGGGGTCACAAATAGTCAGACATGACTGACGACTCACACACACACAGTCTTCCTGGTTTGGACGGTGAAGGTAAACTCTCTTTCATTGCCTCCACCACTACACAGACCCATCAACTTCTTTCTCTTCCCCTTTTATGGGATATATCTTAATTTTTTTATTAAATCAAAACTGATGGCTATGCTATTAGATTAGGTCGATGGCATTTCGACTCAAGCTGGAAGTGTGATTTGACTGTGTTCCCTTTGTCATACGACGTTTTATCTTCCTGGAGTTGATAATTTCCTTCTTTTTCATGACCTTGATTTCTCTGCTTGAGGTCTGCAGAGCCTCTTAAGTTCATGGGTTGATGTGTTTCATGAGCTCTGGAAATTCTGGGTCTTTATCTGTTTGCGTTTTGCTTCTGCCCCAGCCACTCTCTTCCCTCTGCATGCGTGCTCGTCACGTCAGTCCTGTCTGACTCTGTGACTCTGCGGCTGTAGCCCGCCAAGTTCCTCAGTCCATGGGATTCTCAGGGCATGGGAGTGGGTTGCCATGCCCTCCCCCAGGGCATCTTCCCAACCCAGGGATTGAACCCAGGTCTCCAGCATTGCAGGCGATTCTCTACCGTCTTAAGCACCTGGGAAGCCTGCTAGACAGACGAGCCGGGCGGGACCTGTGTGGCCAGTGGAGACGGCGCTGGGTGGGGCTGACAGCGGTTCCAGTTCGACCAGGTCTGCTTCTCACCTGCCTGCCCAGCGAGGTCCAGCCCTAGGGCTGCAAGAGGAGAGGTGGGATCTGGAGACTGCCTGGGGGAGGGGTTGAGGGGCTTCCCCTTTCTGCGCCCCAGCCCTCACCCAGTGATGGGACTGCAAGAACTTCCCTCCTCCTTGGAGAACTCCGCTGCCCAGCCGGGGGAGTGGGAGAGAGGCTGGAGAGTTCTTTCCTGGCCAGCGGGGCCAGCGTGCTCGGGAAGCTGTGTCTCTCCCTGACCGGTGGGGCCCCCTCCATGCAGCTTTGGGCCTAGGCTGCCGGGCTCCATGTCTCTCCCTGACCGCTGGGGCCCCCTCCATGCAGCTTTGGGCCTAGGCTGCCGGGCTCCATGTCTCTCCCTGACGGGTGGGGCCCCCCTCCATGCAGCTTTGGGCCTAGGCTGCCGGGCTCCATGTCTCTCCCTGACCGGTGGGGCCCCCCTCCATGCAGCTTTGGGCCTAGGCTGCCGGGCTCCATGTCTCTCCCTGACCGGTGGGGCCCCCCTCCATGCAGCTTTGGGCCTAGGCTGCCGGGCTCCATGTCTCTCCCTGACCGGTGGGGCCCCCCTCCATGCAGCTTTGGGCCTAGGCTGCCGGGCTCCATGTCTCTCCCTGACCGGTGGGGCCCCCCTCCATGCAGCTTTGGGCCTAGGCTGCCGGGCTCCATGTCTCTCCCTGACCGCTGGGGCCCCCTCCATGCAGCTTTGGGCCTAGGCTGCCGGGCTCCATGTCTCTCCCTGACCGGTGGGGCCCCCTCCATGCAGCTTTGGGCCTAGGCTGCCGGGCTCCATGTCTCTCCCTGACCGGTGGGGCCCCCTCCATGCAGCTTTGGGCCTAGGCTGCCGGGCTCCATGTCTCTCCCTGACCGGTGGGGCCCCCTCCATGCAGCTTTGGGCCTAGGCTGCCGGGCTCCATGTCTCTCCCTGACCGGTGGGGCCCCCTCCATGCAGCTTTGGGCCTAGGCTGCCGGGCTCCATGTCTCTCCCTGACCGGTGGGGCCCCCCTCCATGCAGCTTTGGGCCTAGGCTGCCGGGCTCCATGTCTCTCCCTGACCGCTGGGGCCCCCTCCATGCAGCTTTGGGCCTAGGCTGCCGGGCTCCATGTCTCTCCCTGACCGGTGGGGCCCCCTCCATGCAGCTTTGGGCCTAGGCTGCCGGGCTCCATGTCTCTCCCTGACCGGTGGGGCCCCCTCCATGCAGCTTTGGGCCTAGGCTGCCGGGCTCCATGTCTCTCCCTGACCGGTGGGGCCCCCTCCATGCAGCTTTGGGCCTAGGCTGCCGGGCTCCATGTCTCTCCCTGACCGGTGGGGCCCCCTCCATGCAGCTTTGGGCCTAGGCTGCCGGGCTCCATGTCTCTCCCTGACCGGTGGGGCCCCCTCCATGCAGCTTTGGGCCTAGGCTGCCGGGCTCCATGTCTCTCCCTGACCGGTGGGGCCCCCTCCATGCAGCTTTGGGCCTAGGCTGCCGGGCTCCATGTCTCTCCCTGACCGCTGGGGCCCCCCTCCATGCAGCTTTGGGCCTAGGCTGCCGGGCTCCATGTCTCTCCCTGACCGCTGGGGCCCCCTCCATGCAGCTTTGGGCCTAGGCTGCCGGGCTCCATGTCTCTCCCTGACGGGTGGGGCCCCCCTCCATGCAGCTTTGGGCCTAGGCTGCCGGGCTCCATGTCTCTCCCTGACCGGTGGGGCCCCCCTCCATGCAGCTTTGGGCCTAGGCTGCCGGGCTCCATGTCTCTCCCTGACCGGTGGGGCCCCCCTCCATGCAGCTTTGGGCCTAGGCTGCCGGGCTCCATGTCTCTCCCTGACCGGTGGGGCCCCCCTCCATGCAGCTTTGGGCCTAGGCTGCCGGGCTCCATGTCTCTCCCTGACAGGTGGGGCCCCCCTCCATGCAGCTTTGGGCCTAGGCTGCCGGGCTCCATGTCTCTCCCTGACCGGTGGGGCCCCCCTCCATGCAGCTTTGGGCCTAGGCTGCCGGGCTCCATGTCTCTCCCTGACCGCTGGGGCCCCCTCCATGCAGCTTTGGGCCTAGGCTGCCGGGCTCCATGTCTCTCCCTGACCGCTGGGGCCCCCTCCATGCAGCTTTGGGCCTAGGCTGCCGGGCTCCATGTCTCTCCCTGACCGCTGGGGCCCCCCTCCATGCAGCTTTGGGCCTAGGCTGCCGGGCTCCATGTCTCTCCCTGACCGGTGGGGCCCCCTCCATGCAGCTTTGGGCCTAGGCTGCCGGGCTCCATGTCTCTCCCTGACGGGTGGGGCCCCCCTCCATGCAGCTTTGGGCCTAGGCTGCCGGGCTCCATGTCTCTCCCTGACCGCTGGGGCCCCCCTCCATGCAGCTTTGGGCCTAGGCTGCCGGGCTCCATGTCTCTCCCTGACCGGTGGGGCCCCCTCCATGCAGCTTTGGGCCTAGGCTGCCGGGCTCCATGTCTCTCCCTGACCGCTGGGGCCCCCCTCCATGCAGCTTTGGGCCTAGGCTGCCGGGCTCCATGTCTCTCCCTGACCGCTGGGGCCCCCTCCATGCAGCTTTGGGCCTAGGCTGCCGGGCTCCATGTCTCTCCCTGACGGGTGGGGCCCCCCTCCATGCAGCTTTGGGCCTAGGCTGCCGGGCTCCATGTCTCTCCCTGACCGCTGGGGCCCCCCTCCATGCAGCTTTGGGCCTAGGCTGCCGGGCTCCATGTCTCTCCCTGACCGGTGGGGCCCCCTCCATGCAGCTTTGGGCCTAGGCTGCTGGGCTCCACGCTCCTGGACAAGCCTCCGTCCCATTTCCTTAAATCCTCCCGCACCTCTTGAGTGGCCACCTTGATTAAGCCTTAGTCAAAGTGCCGGACCAACCATGAGAACTCCGACTGTTACATAGTGAATGTTCAACAAACGTTGTCAGGATAATTGGTTAAGTCTCCAGAGACAAAAGTCAAGTTGTATCTCTAACCAAATATCCATGTAAATTAAATTCCAGAAGGATTAGAGAAGCAATTAAAAAATAAAATCATGCTATAAATTAAAAAGGCATGTGGAGGTATTGCACTAAATTTACATTTGATAAGAACTTTCTAAGTATTAACCCAAAGAAGAATCATGAAAGAAAATACAGATAAATTTGCAGAGAATTTTAACATTTTTTATGTACACAAATCTTTAATAAATTAAAAATCGAGTGACAAGAAAAAAATATTTGTAACAGATGAATTCCAAAACCAATAAAAAAGACAAATATCCCAACAGAAAATGGGGAAAAGCTAGGATAAAACAATTTACATAAAATAATTCAAGTGTCTGAAGTGAAAGTACTTAAGCTCCCAGGCCATCGGAGAAATTAAGTGGGAACAGTCCTTTAGTCCTGAGCTCAGCGGTTCCCCCTCCCCGCCCCTCCCGCCCCTCCCCCTGCCCCCCGCCCCCCTGCCCCTCCCCCTGCACCCCCCGCACCCCCCCGCCCCTCCCCCCTCCACAGCCACAGCTTCACTCCCTCCTTCTTGGGGGTGGGGGAACACTTTGACTCTGTTTTGATTCTGGGTCCAGACTGAGCCCTGGAATTTTCCTTTCAGAAATGAAAGGTCCATTAACATATTTTCCTAAACAAATAAGCAGTTTCCCCTGGAGACAACCTTGGCAATCCCCCCAGCGCAGGAAGGGTGCCGAAAGTCAACGCCAGAAGCCAGGTTTGCGTCCTGCCCTCCACCTCTCCCCCCTGCCTGCACCAAGCACCTGCCCAGCTGGGCCTCCGGGCCCCCTCTGCTCCTGCCAGGACGCAGCCCCAGGGCCTTTGCTCCGCTCCGTCCTTTCCCCTGACAGTCCCGCTGCTCCTCCCGTGTCCGGCTGGTCTTTTTCTGCACGTCCCCTCCTCAGCGGGGCCCCGCCTGCATCCAGCCCTGCTGAACCGCGGCCCTTGCAGTCCCGGCCACACCGGTCACACCCTCCTGGGGCCCGACCACGCCTGTTTCACACATCAGTTTCCCTGCCAGGGCACACAGGGACCCCGCCCACTGCTCAGGGAGGCCCCGACCTGGCAGGCAGCAGTCCTGGGGAAGGGCTTGGAAGGCGCGGCTCACGTGGTCGCCACAGGCCGTCCAGCTCCAGGCGTGCAGGTGACATCTGCCTTTCACTGTAGACAAATCAGCTCCATCCCTGGAAGAGGCTGCCCACCTGGTTTTGCAGAAGAGCAGATCCCAGAACCACTGAGTTCTCATCTCGTGGCTCCTCAGCAAAGGCGAGGCCGGAGGGGGCAGGCGGGGCCACAGGGCAGGGTCTGGCGGGGCTCCCCTTGAGCACGGCCCGCCCAGAAGGGCCGCAGGGAGCAGGCCGGGCCATGGGGCAGGGTCCAGCAGGGCTCCCCTTGAGCGTGGCCCGCCCAGAAGCATCCAGGTGCCCACGGTGGGTGGCCAGCGCCTGCTCGGCCTGGGCCTCCTGGCAGGGTTGTGGCCTGTAGCCTCCCCCTGCCCTGGCTACTCCCAGCCGCTGCCAGGGGAGGGGTGCCGGCCCAGAGAGCCCGCCCCGGGGGCATTGGAGCTGATGCTGCAGCTGCTGCTGCGGCCCAATCCCCGGGGGCCCGTGGCCAGCGAGTCCCCGGGAAGCCCTCCTGGCTCCTGCACCCGTTGTCCCCATCCCCTGGCTCTCACATGGGCCCTGCGAGGTGTGGGTCGCTTCACTGCTGACCACAGAGAGCCTTAGAGCCTCCGCCTGTCTGCGTGGGGGCAGGGTGTGGTTCCAAGCGCCCTGCAGGCTGACAGCTTGTGGCCTAATCGGGAGGGTGCTCAGACCCCTGGGGCTGCCCCACTTGCCCCCGTCTGTGCCTCTGCCAGCCGCCAGGGCTCCCCTCCTGGGGAGCTTCACAGGGGGCTGTGACCCTCTCCCCGATCCTGGGGCTCCAGGAGCTCCCTCCTCCCACAGTCAGCACCTCTCTGCTCAGCACCACGGCTCCCTCGGGGCTTGGCCTGGAAACAGCGCCTGCCTGTCAGGCCACCTTGCGCCGCACGGGGAGGGGGCTGTGTCCCCACAGGAAGCCAAATTTCCCATCAAAGCCACGCCGCCCACCTTCCAGCTGGGAGGGGCCTGGGACAGACCCCCTCGCCACCCTGGAGGATGTTCCGTGGAGGTTGCACGTGTGTCTTGGCCGCAGGGATGAGGTTGTGTAACCAGCGTGGCTCTCCAGGCGGCTCTCAGGCCTTCCGATTTAATTGAATGTATTTCCAGCAGCAGAATCTGGGGCACTGGGATGGGGGGTCCTGAGGGAGGGAGCCGGGCTGCGGGGAGGGGCTTAGGCAATAGGCTCCTCAGGCCCCAGCTCCCCAGGCAGGCAGGAGACACCAAATCAGAGGCCAGCCTGGGCCGAGCACTCCTGGGACTGGACACTGGTGTGGGTGTGCGGCCTGACAGATGCCACCCCCGTCATCAAAGCCCCCCCAAAGCATTCCCTGAGCCCAAACCCAGGAGGTCTGAGCCGCAGACGCCCTTCCAGACGGTTCTGTCATCAGGCGAATGTCTCTCGGCATCCCCGCCGAGCTGTCCCGAGCGTCTCCCGGGTGTCCCCTGCCCTGGACACAGCCTTGTCCCGGCCTCAGCGAGCCTCCAGCTCAGCAGGTGACGCCACATCGCCTCGGCCAGCAGTGGCCGGATGGGGCGGCGCTTTCTCTCCACCCACACCCCGGCCATGACAGCAGCCCTGTGACCCCAAGCCAGGCAGACCTCCTGGCTTCGTGTGCCCAAGTGCCTCTGAAGGGTCTGATCAGACAAGACCAGAGGCTGCCCAGGGCTCTGCCCCCACCTGTCCAGCGCTCAGAGGACAGGGGGCTGGCCGGCCAAGCCCGCAGTCCATCTGCAGGACCCCCTGGCGTGGGGGGACACGGGGCCTCGACCCGAGGGCGACCCCTCAGCGGGATCGAGCGCTGCACCTGCGTGCTGGGGCTCTTTCCTCCCCAAGGCCAGAGTGGCCCCCTCCCTCTCTCCTTGGGAGACCACTCCACGTGGCCCTGACCCCCTCGGCTTCCTCTGTAATGGAGTGGCCGGGCCTGGCTTGGGGCGGGGCAAGCTTGGACAGGTGTGTCCTTCTTGTCCTCCTCACTGCCGAGGGCAGATCCTGCCCTGGAGCGGGGCTGAGCCCCAAGAAGCCCGGGGGCCTGGAGCAGGAGAGGCTTCCGGGAGAGGAGTCTCTGTAGCCTGTGCCTGGGTCCCCGCCCTGTCCTTCACCCCGGGGTCCCGCCCCAGCCTTCACCCCCGGGCTAAGGCGGTCACTCGGGGTTGTCTCCAAGGCTGGAGACAGATAGCCTTGATCACCAACACAGCAGGCCACCACGGACTGTTTCTGGAAGCATTCAATAATTATTTCCAAGAGGCGCCCACTCAGTCTGTGTGGGAGAGAGCAGGACATTCCACGTGGCCCATGGCTCAGTGCTGCTTCCACGGGGGTTCCAGTGGGGCCCCCTGGCCCTGGGGCGCCGTGTCTTGGAGATCTCGGCTCGATCCTGCGTGACGCCAGGAGGGGCTTGGAGAGGAGGCCCCAGTGGGGCCAGCGTGGGCTCCACTCTGGCTCAGGAGCAAGGTGCGTGGTCGCTCCGGGCTGGGTGGGGGCCGGCAGCCAGGGGGCCCAGCTCTGCCCTGGCTGCATGGTCCTCAAGCCACTGCCAGCCACCCCCGGCCCTGTGACGGCTCTGGAGGTGCCAGGCTGTGGTCTACGTGTAGCAGCGGAAGGACGGGGTCTCTGCGAGGTCAGCACAGAGCCCACGCCCCACAGCAAGCAGCTGGGCCCCGCGTGGGTCCCGGCTCCCTCCTCCCACCTGGCTGCGGACCGGTGACTCGGCCTGCAGGGCCATCTGGAGGCTTCCCTGCAGGTTGTGGCGGACACAGGCCCTCCGTGGAATCCAGCCAGAGAAGAAAACCAGCTGGCGTGCTGGGAGCCAGGCCTGGCTCTGCCCTTCCCAGCCCCGAGCCAGCAGTGAGCGCCGCTCCTGGAGAAGACCCAGCTGCCCCCGGGAGGTCTGGCGCCCTGGGGGAGGGCTCCTCACCCACCCAAGCCACCCCCACTCCTGCCCCATCCCAGTCCTCCTGCTGTCCTGGGGAAGTGGCCCCACAAAACCCAGACCTCTGGACACCGCATCTGCCTGTCTGAAGCCGTGAGGCCACAGACCGGAGGCTCAGGGCCGGCCCGGCTGCCAGGGGAAGTGACGACCCCGAGGCTTCAATTTCCCTTCACCCAGCCCAGACCCACAGCGGCCTGGGGGTCAGCTGGCACTCAGAGGGCCCCACCCCCCACACAAGCAGGCCGGGCAGGCCGGCAGCACAGAGACTCTGGAATGCTGGAGCGGACGGGCCGTCCCAGAGCCAAGCTTGAGACTCTGGCTGGCTCGATCTTTCCGGAAGCCGGGGCCGGGTCCAGGCTTGGACAGAACAAGCTGGTTTTCATGGAGGCCAGAAAACATGAGGCGCTGGCCTAGCATGCCGGCAGCTCGTCCAGGACCCGAGGGCGGGGCGGGGTGGCCTCCACTGCTGGGGCAGCCAGGCCTGCCCTGTCCGGGTGCTGGCCTGGGGGCCCATGTGGGCGCTCAGCAGCGTGTCTGCTGGCCTGGCCTCCACACCCAGCTTGTGGGGCCTGCAATGGGGGCAGGAGTGGGGGGCTCCAGCTCGGGCCTCGGGCGGGGGCGGTGTTCAGACAACCTCAGTTTGAATCCAGAGCTGCTGGCTGGGGCTGGGGGGCCTGGGAGGGAGACCCCCACCCTCAGCCCCACTGCCGGCTGTGATCCCTGCGCAGACGCACAAGGAGGGTGAGCTGGCCGGAAGCTCGGCAGAGGGGACCCCGCCCCCCGCCAGGGCCGGCCCGGCTGTGGTCCTCCATCGGGAAAGCGTCCTCTCCTGATGAGAGGTCTCCAGGCGGGGAGAGGCCTCACTTCCGGCCCTGGCCGTTCTGGGGCCGGGGAGCCCCCCGTCCGCAGGGGTCGCAACAGGGCAGAGACCCCGAGATGCATGGGGGGAGGCGGGGGGAGGGGGGCCCTGAGCACAAGTCCATTTGTGCGCTGCTCTCGCAGACCCCGGGGCGCTCAGGCTGACCAGGGGACAGAGGCCAGCAGGGCCGGTTCTTCCCAGGACTGGAGCCCAGCGGGCGGGGGTCCCGGCTCCGTCTCCACAGGCCGGCGGAGGTTCCCGCTTGCTGGCTTGGCCGCGGGTGGAGGGGGTGGAGGGCGTGGTCAGCCTTCCTGAGAGGGGTCAGACGCCCCGCCCCCAGCCCCGCCCCCGCCACAGACTCCGGCGCCCCCTGCTGCGCTGGGCTCCTGAGCACTTCCGTCAGCTCTGGGGCGCCTGGCCAGGCCTGGCCACAAGCCCACCTGCCTGCCAGCCCTGCCCTGGTCCCAGCTGGCCCCCTGCGCGCCTGGCCAGTGCCCTGCAGCGGTGCCTGCTCACTCACCCCGCCCTCAGAGAGGAGGCTTTGCTATTCCCATGGGGCTCAGCCCTGGACCAGCCTGATGCCCCCACCTTTCACAGAACCCCCTGAAGCGCACTCTTCTCCTCCAGACGCTTCTGGAAGCAGCCAGGTCTGTGGGGAGCAGACAGTGGGAGAGGGGTCAGCTGAAGCCAGGCGTGGGCCATCCTGGGCTGCAGTGCGACGCCTCGGTTATCAGAAGGGGCTCCCGTGAAGTCCCACCACTCTTCTGTCCAATTTAGGAGCAATTAATGAGCCAGCTCCCCCTGGAGACCAGCTGCCGTGTGTCCTGGTTTCAGAGGCTGCCTCTTCATCCCAAGAGGAAAAGCTGCAGCAACCTGATTTAGCCTGGAAGAAGGAGGAGGCTTCGGCGGGGCCTGCAGCTCGTGAAGCCCGCAGGAGCCGGGTTGGGAGCCCCGGGGTGCCCGCCAAGGCCCCCGCGACAGACTCTGACCCCGGGGAACTCAGGGGGCAGTGTGAGCTTACACCCCAGGTCTGTGAGGTGCAGATCATGTCATGAAGGCAGCTGCCCCTGGGTGCACCCGGAAGCTCTGCTCCCAGGACCCCCACAGGCTGCCTTCCGCCACAGGAGACAGCGAGCCTGAGGTCTGAGCTGAAAGAGCCGCCCCTACCTGGAGATTTAGCAGCTGCAGCCCCACTCCTAACCCAGCCCCCCAGAGCGACACCCTCCCTGGGCCCCAGGGTGGGGCCCGGCGGCCAGTCAGGCCCTCCCCAGGCAGGCAGTGCCCAGGCCCGCGTTTACCTATCTAGCGTTTCCAGCACCGCCACTCCCAGCATCCAGGCCAGTGCTGGGGACCTGGAGCCCCAGGAGGGGAGGGGGCCATAGAACAAAGGAGAGAGGGGCCTGGGGCCCCCGATGGAAGGGATGGAAGGTCAGGAGGGCTCCAGCGAGGAGTTAAGGCCTGGGCTGGGTGCACTGTGGGGTGGGAAGGGGCTGCAAGGAGACACGGGGGCTCGGAGCAGGAGAGGAAGGGGTGGGGCCTGGCTGGTGCTGGGAACTGAGGCCCAGAGCTCAGCCCTGGCGGCCCCCAGCTTCCAAGGACACAGAGTTGCCCAGCTCTCTAGGACCAGCCCGACCTGCATCCAGGCTGGAGAGGGGGCAGGAGGGTCCTCACTGGGCCTGGGGGAAGAGCCTGTCCAGACAGTTACCCAGGTACAGTCGTCCGACCCATAGCTGCCCTATGGGTCGGTTCCCTGGCGGGCTCCCTGAGCCCGGGAATTTCTGTGCTCACTCTGCTCACCCTCACCCACCGGTGTGTCTGGGTCGGGCTGCAGGCCTCCCCGGCCCACCGTCACCCTGCCCCTACCCCCAGCCACCTCTGAGGTCCCAGGGTAGCTGTGGGCAGCGTCCTGGAGCGGCCCCACACTTGGACAAACCTGCAAGGTGATGGCTTTCAGACCACAGAGCGAACAGGAGTCCCTCCCCATCCTTCAAGAGGCAGCTGCTAAGGCCTATACTCAGGTGCCAAACCTACCCTGGGGCCAACCACTGAGCTTTGGCCTCTGAGACTCTGTGCCTTGTTCCTCTGTCCTGGCCAAGCCCTCCCTCCCCAGAGAGGGCCTGCCTTGTGTGGGGAGGGTCGGGGCCCGTGGGAGGAAGGGGGGCCCAAGGATGCCTGAACCCCCCGGGCCAGCAGCCCACCCATGCTGACCCTGTGGGAGGGAGAAGCCACAGAGGCAGCTGAGTGGGTCCCAGTGAGGCTGGTATGGATGTGAGAGTTGGATCATAAAGAAGGATGAGTGCTGAAGAATTGATGCTTTTGAACTGCAGTGTTGGAGAAGACTCTTGAGAGTCCCTTGGACTGCAAGGAGATCCAACCAGTTCATCCCAAAGGAGATCAGTCCTGGGTGTTCATTGGAAGGACTGATGGTGAGGCTGAAACTCCAATACTTTGGCCACTTGATGCAAAGGGCTGACTCCTTGGAAAAGACGCTGATGCTGGGGAAGATTGACAGCAGGAGGAGAAAGGGGCAACAGAGGATGAGATGGTTAGATGGCATCAGCAATGCGATGGACATGGGTTTGAGCAAACCCTGGGAGATAGTGTGTGCAAGGAAGCCCGGTGTGCTGCAGACCACGGGGTCACAAAGGGTCGGACACAACTGAGCGACTGAACAACAACAGAAGCTGTGCTCCCAGCTCCTGCCTCCCACAACCTGGGGGTGCTGATTGCCCCAGTGATGGCCTGACTGCCACACAAGTGTCCACTCCAAGCCTGGACTCCAGGCCCAGGGCCTGGCACCCCGAGAGGACCCCACGTAGTGAGAGACGAGGGGCCCGGAGCTGGGCCTGTGCTGCCACGCGGCGGAAGGGGGTGAGGCTGCCGGTCTCAGGCGGGGAGACTGTCCTGCGTGGCCAGGTGAGCCCAGCGCAGCCTCCAGGGGCCTCACGGGGGGCGCAGGGGGGTCCGAGAGGCGGCTGTTGGCCCCGCCAGCTGAAGATGGAGGAAGGGCCACAAGCCGGGGTGCAGGCACCTCTGGAAGCTGGAAAAGCGGGGAATGATTCTCCCCGGAGCCTCTGGACGGCAGTCGCCTTGCCCCACCTGGACAGAGTGCAGGAAGCCTCATTTCAGCTCGGCCTTCCAGACCCTCGGACCCCGAGGCTGCGATCTGTGAGCCACTCAGCTATGGTCATTTGTTATGCGGCCACGAAAGGCACACACCCTCCTGGAGCTGAGAGACCTGCCCAAGAACAGAGTGCGGCTTTACACACACACACACAGACACACGCACACAGACACACACACACACAGACACAGACAGACGCACACACACACAGGCAGACACACACACACACACATCAGTCCCAGCAGACATACACACACATGTGCGTGCACACACACAGACATACAGACACACTCACACACGCACCAGTCCCAGCACACACACATACAAACAGACACACAGACACACACACAGACACGCATACGCACACACAGACACGCATACACACAGAGACATGCACACACAGACACACACATGCACACACACGTGCGCACACAGACACACATACAGACACACACAGACACACACATGCACATGCACACATGTGCACACAGACACACATACAGACACACACAGACACACATGCACACATGTGCACACAGACACACACACAGACACAGACACACACATGCACATGCACACGTGTGCACACAGACATACACACAGACACACACAGACACACACATGCACATGCACACGTGTGCACACAGACACACATACAGACACACACAGACACACACATGCACATGCACACGTGCGCACACAGACACACACACAGACACACACAGACACACACATGCACATGCACACATGTGCACACAGACACACATACAGACACACACAGACACACACATGCACATGCACACATGTGCACACAGACACACACACAGACACACACAGACACACACATGCACATGCACACGTGCGCACACAGACACACACACAGAGACACACACAGACACACACATGCACATGCACACGTGCGCACACAGACACACACACAGACACACATGCACACGCACACGTGTGCACACAGACACACACAGACACACACACACATGCACACGTGTGCACACAGACACACATACAGACACACACATGCACATGCACACGTGCGCACACAGACACACACATGCACGTGCACACATGTGCACACAGACACACACACAGACACACACAGAGCAGCCCCAGCAGCCCCACGGTCACCACAGGCCTCTGGTCAGCCCCTGGTTGTGGCTCCAGCTCCCCCGAGCGAGGACCAGGCTGCTGGGATGTCTGGCCCACAGATGCCACTGACCACCCTCGCTGCCTCTGGGGCTCCGGCCCCTGCTCCCTGCTTCCCTGGCCTCCATGCTGGTCATGAACAGCGGATGGTCAGGCTGGGAGACCCTCAGAGACCAAGTGGCCTCACAGGAGGGGCCTGTCTGGGGTCACAGTGGCGTAGGGACCCTGCTGGGGACAGAGAAGCCGGGTGACCATCTCCACAGCCCCTCCTGTGCCGCCTGCCCTGATGTTGGACCCCCGGGGGTCAGAGCTGGGAGGCCAGTCACCGAGAGAGGACCGGCCCTGCACTGACTCCACCTGCAGCTCTCGGACCACACTGGAGGGTCCAGTCTCCACGGGGCGGGGTGCAGGCGCTGCGGGCGTGGCGCTGGCGGAGGGGACAGCTTGCAGAGGCAGAGATGGGGCCACAGCAGCATCCTTGTGTCCTCATGGAGAGGGCTGGCAGCGCAAGCGAAACGGGCAGAACGGCCTCCGAGGAGCACGCCCTGAGGGCATCAGACCCCCTTTCTGCTCTAAGCTGCCAGGTCCCCCGCAGCAGCCCCCACAGAACTGTAGCCGGAGGGTCTTTGGAGAGAGGTGTGAGCATCGCCTTGCGAGGATGGCGGGGTCACGACGGGTCATGGGGTTCGGGGGTCATGATGAAGTTCAGGGGTCATGATGGGGCTCAGGGGCCATGATGGGGTTCGGGGGTCATGATGGGGTTTGGGGGTCATGATGGGTTTCGGGGTCATGGTGGGGTTCGGGGTCATGATGGAGTTCGGGGGTCATGATGGGGTTTGGGGGTCATGATGGGGTTCAGGGTCATGATGGGGTTCGGGGTCATGGTGGAGTTTGGGGGTCATGATGGGGTTCGGGGTCGTGATGGGGTTTGGGGGTCATGATGGGGTTCGGGGTCATGATGGGGTTCGGGGTCATGGTGGGGTTCGGGGGGTCATGATGTGTTTCGGGGGTCATGATGGGGTTCGGGGTCGTGATGGGGTTCGGGGTCGTGATGGGGTTCGGGGGTCATGATGGGGTTCGGGGTCATGGTGGGTTTCGGGGTCATGATGGGTTTCGGGGTCATGATGGGGTTCGGGGGTCATGATGGGGTTCAGGGTCATGATGGGGTTCGGGGGGTCATGATGTGTTTCGGGGGTCATGATGGGGTTCGGGGTCGTGATGGGGTTCGGGGGTCATGATGGTGTTCGGGGTCATGATGGGGTTTGGGGTCGTGATGGGGTTCGGGGGTCATGATGGGGTTCGGGGTCATGGTGGGTTTCGGGGTCATGATGGGTTTCGGGGTTCATGGTGGGGTTCGGGGGTCATGATGGCATTTGGGGTCGTGATGGGTTTGGGGTCGTGATGGGGTTGGGGCGCGGCACAGCCGGGCTGGGGCGCAGTGTTTGGCGCCCTCTGCTGGTGGTGATGGGTTTCTGGACGACGCCCCTCCTGGTGGACTGACCCCTGACCCACGGGAGCAGCCTGTGGGCAGGATCTCGCGGCCCCACCTGGGCTCCAGCTCCTGCCGTCAGAGTGCCCCTAGCCCCGGGGGGACTTGCTCTCACATCACGGGAGGGTGGGGCCGCCTGGGCCTTCCCTTCCAGGGCGTCTCTGACGCGGACACTGGCATCTGCTCTCCTGGGAACGCACTTGGGCGGCTCCTTCCCCAGCCGCACCCCAGCCCACATCGCCGTTCCCAGGAAACGGGCAGGATTGGACCTGCCACGCCAGCACTGTGCAGTGGGCAGTGGGCGGCCTGGGCTGAGATCAAGGTTGCCAGGGGCAGTCTCCGTGCTGTGTGGGTGGAGGAGATTTTAGCTTTTCTAATAACAGACAGGGCACCGGGCCGCCCGGGGCTGGAGGGCCTCTCTCCCCGAGCTTGGGAGCCCTAATTGCCGGCATCGTATTTTTAGTTCACTCTTGACGTCTGAGTATGACTCACCCCAGGACCTTGTCATCAGCGGCTCACCGGGCTCCAGGCCAGGGTTGAAGATGACCACCGTCAGCCTGTCGGGCATTTGTGTCCACATCTAGGCCTCTGGCTGGACCCCGAGCAGGAGGAGGGAGGCAGGGTGGGAGCTCTGCCCCTTGTGTGCTGGTCCTTGGGGGCGGGGCTCACCCAGGATCACGGTCTGCACGTCCACACCCAGGGGGCCTGGACACCCTTCCCTGGGGAGGAAGCTGTCCAAGGGGAAGGAGGGGTGGGCCCCTGGAAGGCCTGCCCCCGAGCTCTGCAGTACGTGGTCCAGACTCCCGGGAGGTGCAGCTGGGGCCCAGGGCACCCTGGAGCCCTCCCCACCCAGACACGCCTGGGGGGGCCACCATCTTCATTAGCAGGACTCTGTTGCTTGGGACCTCTGCCCAGCCAGGGCCTCCTTGAAACCTGGGTGCTGCCGTGGCAAATGCCAGCTGGGTGCCTCAGCTTCTCTGAGTCTCTCACCGTGAGTCTTGTCCCACCAGCAGGTGGATCCTCCCCAGCCCCATTCACGCGCCGCCCCGTGCATGAAGACCCGCTTCCCGAGGCCTCCATATCTCTGTCAGGTCTGCCCCGCACCCCTCTGCCCCGAGGGCCCCGCTGCTCCCCGCCAGGCCCTCGACATCCCCCCTGCGTGTGGTCAGGGTGTTCGGGCAGCAAGCACTCAGCCCTGGGGGCCCGCCAGATTGGGCTCCCTCCCTGGCTCTGGAGGCCAGGTGTGGGCGTCCAGTGAGTCGGACGTCTGGGCCTGTAGGGCGGGGGCACCCCGAGTCCACCCTCCTCAGTGGAGGCTCCTCGATGGTGCAGCCGCCTGGGAGGCTGAGTGCTGGCCGCCTGCTCCCTGGTGGTCCCTGCGTGGCAGCCAAGACCCTGTCCTCTCACGGGCTCCTGCTGGCACGGGGTCGCCAGCCTCTCCTCTCCTGGGTTTCAGCATTAAGATGTTTCCGCGGTGGTCAGCATGGCCGGCCAGCTTGGATCAGCACAGAGCCCACCCTGGTCCCCGGTGGGAGCAGCATCGCCCCAGGAGAGAAGGCATCCCCTCCGACATTTGCACCAGTAGGACCAGTGTCATGCATGAAGAGTTGGAGCTTCGAGGAAACCCAGGACCCTGGAGCCCAGGGCCCAGGGGGACCCGGCTTTGCCACCCCTCTTGCAATTCTTGGTTATAGAAACGTGGCCCTCAGATTTCAAAGACAGCTGTTTGGAACTTCTTGGCAGCGGAAACTCTTGAACAGAAACTTGGAGGTCCTGAGGTATAAGGCCACAGAGCAGGGCTGCTGTGGGTGTAGGGCTGGGAAGGGGGCTCTGGCCCTCTCTATCCATGCGTTCCTGCCCTGGGTCCCTGGGTCCCCTGGGCTGGGCCCCGTGTCCTGGAGAACCTCAGACATGCCTGGGGATGTGTCCTGGTGCCTGCCCTTGCCTCCGTCGCCCACTAGAGGCTGTCTGTGCAGAAGGCAGGGCTGGGCCTTGGTCAGGGGAGGCTGCAGAGGGGCCCGGGTCAGCCCGGCTGTGCAGGGCTGGGCGCCTCCGAGACGACCTTCTAAGTCCTCTAACGGGCTGCACACTGGCCAGGACGCGTGTGTGCGGCTGGGCGGCATGCGTGCGGGGCTTCAGGGCACCTCTGAGAGCCCCATCGGTCATGTCCGGGCCGCGGGTCCCGGGGGCGAATCTTGAACTCCCACTCTCCATTAAAGCAGCACCGCCCGTGACCCACAGCCAGACGCGGCCGGCGTGTCCCCTGAGCTGCGGCCCAGAGTTCAGTGGCGCCTGGCCAGGAAGCACATCCGGCCCGCGGAGCAGCCAGGTCGGGTGCAGAGCTCCCCTGCTGCCCAAAGGGAGAGGCGGGTTTGTGCAGCCAAGGTCGTGGCCACCATGTCCCAGGGATGTCCCGGCGGGAGGCACCAGTCCTGCCGAGATCCCCCAGCATTAGTGCGGAGACAGGCAGGAAGGCAGCCCGTGCTGGGCCCCCTGGGCCACTGCGGTGTGTCCGTGCACATGCGGTCCCTCCTGTGACGTGTCGGAGGATGCGGCCCGAGCGTCAGCGTCCTCACATCTGGAACTGTGAGACAGTCTCATCCTTCCAGGAAGACGCCGATGAGGCAGCAAGAATGCTAAGTGAGGCTCAAGTCCAGTGTTGGAGCTTGTGATTTAGACTAGAAACATTATGCTTCAGTGGAAAGCTTTGCGTTGTGCAGGGGGTATCTGATTTGTCACTGTCAGCCAGGCTCCACCAAGTGGGCAGGTGGGAAAAACCCACCTCCCCTCCCCTCCCCTGGGGAAACCAGGTTTTCCCACTTTGGTTTCAGTCTCAGTGACCTTTCCATGTGTCTGTCATCCAAGTTGCTTAGACCATCTGCCTGGTTCCCCTTTTATTAATGAGTAAACAGCACCTTTAACATGAGCTAATTTTTATGTCTGTGAGTCAGGATTTTCTTTCACTGAAAATTATCTTTCAACAAATGTATTAGGTTTCTGGACTTCTCAGGCGGCTCGGTGGTAGAGAATCCACCTGCCAATGCAGGAGATGTGAGGTGGATCCCTGGTTTAGGAAGATCCCCTGGAGGAGGGCCTGGCAACCCACGCCTGTCTTCCTGCCTGGGAAATCCCATGGACAGAGGAGCCTGGCAGCTACAGTCCATGGGGTCGCAAAGAGTTGGACACGACTTAGCAATGAACAAGTGTTAGGTTTCTAGACATTATATATCACTTTCCAAAAGTGTGTTTGTTGATTCATACAACAAACTACTTAAGGAACCAAGGAAGGCTGAGCGCTGAAGAATTGATGCTTTCAAGTTGTGGGGCTAGAGAAGATTCTTGAGAGTCCCTTGGACTACAAGGAGATCAAACCAGTCCATGCTAAAGGAAATCAACCCTAAATATTCATTGGAAGGACTAAAACTGAAGCTCCAATACTTTTGTCACCTGATAAGAACAGCCGACTCATTAGAAAAGACCCTATGCTGGGAAAGATTGAGGACAGAAGGGGACGACAGAGGATGAGATGGTTGGATGGCATCACTGACTCGATGGACATGAGTTTGAGTAAACTTGGGAGTTGGTGATGGACAGGGAGGCCTGGCACGCTGCAGTCCATGGGGTCGCAAAGAGTCGGACATTACTGAGAGACTGAACAACAACAAATGCAGTAAAAACGCCGGATGTTTGTAAGTAGGAACAATTTGAATAATTGTGACAGTTTTTAGAAACTCAGAAATAGATGTGGAGTAAGAAACCTGTATGCAGGTCAGGAAGCAACAGTTAGAACTGGACTTGGAGCAACAGACTGGTTCCAAATAGGAAAAGGAGTACGTCAAGGCTGTATATTGTCACCCTGCTTGTTTAACTTATATGCAGAGTACATGATGAGAAACGCTGGGCTGGAGGAAGCACAAGCTGGAATCAAGATTGCCAGGAGAAATATCAATAACCTCAGATATGCAGATGACACCACCCTTATGGCAGAGAGTGAAGAGGAACTAAAAAGCCTCTTGATGAAAGTGAAAGAGGAGAGTGAAAAAGTTGGCTTAAAGCTTAACATTCAGAAAACTAAGATCATGGCATCTGGTCCCATCACCTCATAGGAAATAGATGGGGAGACAGTGGAAACAATGTCAGACTTTATTTTTGGGGGGCTCCAAAATCACTGTGGATGGTGACTGCAGCCATGAAATTAAAAGACGCTTACTCCTTGGAAGGAAAGTTATGACCAACCTAGATAGCATATTAAAAAGCAGAGTCATTACTTTGCCAACAAAGGTCTGTCTAATCAAGGCTATGGTTTTTCCAGTGGTCATGTATGGATGTGAGAGTTGGATGGTGAAGAAAGCTGAGTGCCGAAGAATTGATGTATTTGAACTGTGGTGTTGGAGAAGACTCTTGAGAGTCCCTTGGACTGCAAGGAGATCCAACCAGTCCATCCTAAAGGAGATCAGTCCTGGGTGTTCACTGGAAGGACTGATGCTGAAGCTGAAACTCCAGTACTTTGGCCACCTCATGCAAAGAGTTGACTCATTGGAAAAGACCCTCATGCTGGGAGGGAGTGGCGGCAGGAGGAGAAGGGGAAGACAGAGGATGAGATGGCTGGATGGCATCACCAACTCAATGGGCATGAGTTTGAGTAAACTCCAGGAGTTGGTGATGGACAGGGAGGCCTGGCGTGCTGCGATTCATGGGGTCACAAAGAGTCGGACACGACTGAGCGACTGAACTGACTGAACTGAACTGAACTGATGGACGTCATGAGTGGCGAGTCTCTGTGTGAAGAGCAGTGGGGCTCAGCACAACCCTGCTGCCCTGGCCCCCCAGCCTGTGGTCCCCCCGGCTCATCGTCCCCCAGCCCGTGGTCCCCCCGGCCCGTGGTCCCAACCCGTGGTCCCCCAGCCCATGGTCCCCCAAACCCCGTGGTCCCCCCAGCCCGTGGTCCCCCAGCACCGTGGTCCCCCCAGGCCGTGGTCCCCCCAGCCCGTGGTCCCCCAGCCCCGTGGTCCCCCCAGCCCCATGGTCCCCCCAGCCCATGGTCCCCAAGCCCCGTGGTCCCCCCAGCCCATGGTCCCCCAGCCCCGTGGTCCCCCAGCCCCATGGTCCCCCAGCCCCGTGGTCCCCCCAGCCCATGGTCCCCCAGCCCCGTGGTCCCCCAGCCCCATGGTCCCCCTGGCCCACCGTCCCCCTGGCCTTTGGTCCCCCCAGCCCGTGGTCACCCCAGCCCGTGGTCCCCCAGCCCCGTGGTCCCCCAGCCCCATCATCCCCCCGGCCCGTGGTCCCCCAAGCCCCATGGTCCCACCAGCCCGTGGTCCCCCCAGCCCCATGGTCCCCCTGGCCCATCGACCCCCAGCCTTTGGTCCCCCAGCCCCATGGTCCCACCAGCCCGTGGTCCCCCAGCCCCGTGGTCCCCCAGCCCCATGGTCCCCCTGGCCCATCATCCCCCTGGCCTTTGGTCCCCCCAGCCCGTGGTCCCCCCAGCCCGTGGTCCCCCAGCCCCGTGGTCCCCCAGCCTCATCATCCCCCCGGCCCGTGGTCCCCCAAGCCCCATGGTCCCACCAGCCCGTGGTCCCCCAGCCCCATCGTCCCCCCAGCCCCGTGGTCCCCCCAGCCCCATGGTCCCACCAGCCCGTGGTCCCCCAGCCCGTGGTCCTTGCCTGGGCCTTCTCCCCGCTGGGCCTCCACAGCAGCCCTGGACTCTCAGAACCCGTTTCCCTCGCAGTCAGCCCAGGGTGCCTCCTCCCTCACCTGCGTTCAGCAAACGTGTGCTGGTAAGTGAAGGCTGTTCAGTTTGTAAACCCTTCCTTCAGGCGGGAGCCGCTGGGCCTGCTTTACAAGCCCTGCTGGGCCCCAGCGCCTCCTGCCCCTGGCGACGCTTGGGGGTGCTGGACCCCCGTGCCCAGCCTGAGGCCCCGCCCTGGAGCCCCTGTGAGCTGGAGGCTGTGTCCGGCTTGACCTGCCTCCAGAGGGGCCCCAGGAAGGAGCAGGGCTCACAGGCTCCAGGGCTCCGTCAGGGCCTGCTTGCGGGCGCTGCCTGCTTCCCGAGTCCTGCACACCGTGGGCTCCGAAGGGGAAACTGAGGCAGGAGGCTGTTGGTCCTTTTGGGCCAAGTGGAGCCCGCTTCTTTCTCCTCCTGCCCCTGGGCCCCCTCTGGCTCCCGAGGTCTGGTGGGCTGAGCTCTGGGCTGCTGTGCCTTGGGGGCCCCGTTCCGGGGCTGCGGGAAACGCTGGGGCCCCACAAGGAGCGGGTGGAAGAGCCGGCCCCCCACCCCAGCGGCCGGGCCTGAGGGGCAGGAGCTGGGACTGCACCCGCAGGGGAGGCGAGGGAGCCGGGCCCCTGTGCCTGTGGGGCTGCCCGCCTGGCGGGGCCGCGTCTTCTGCAGTGTGGCCAGCAGAGGGTGCCCACGCGCTGCCGCGGGCGCAGGGCCGGGCGCTGGGCACCCACGGGCAGCAGGGGGCCCGGGCCGACCCTGGGCACCTCCTCCCGGACGGGAGCCAGCTGACATTTGACTGGGTTCTGATGACCGCTCCCTCCCGCATCCGGGGACCGTGTAGCCGCTCGTCGGCGGCGCCAGGAGGGTCCGGGGTCCCGCAGGCCTCCTCCTGGCCGCCCCCGTGGGGGGGTGGCTTCCTGGCGGTGGTTGCAGGTCCCAGGACTGGGCTTTTCAGCAGCTGCCCCTGCCTGCGCGGAGACAAGGCTTCCCAGCCACGTGGCGGCTGCCAGCTCAAGCCAGGCAGGCCCCTCCCGGAAGGCCGGGCTTCTGCAAGACAAACAGCCTCCCAGCGCCTTGCGCCCTCCCTGCGTCCCCGGACTCCTCTCTCTGTCTCTCCCCAGATACAGACATCTTCTTGTATTCTCACTCTTTCTGTAACGAGCAACTTATACAATACTTCACATCATTAAACATTATAATTTATTTGAAAAACAGACCGCCTAGGACAAAGCCCTAAGTTCCTGGGAGCTTTGAGCTCGGTCGGATCAGGGCCCCTCCCGCCTGGGGTAGGGCCTGGGGGGCCTTGGGGGGGAGGGGCGCCCCTGGGGGGCCTTGGAGGGAGGGGTGCCCCTGGGGGGCCTTGGGGGGGAGAGGTGCCCCTGGGGGGCCTTGGGGGGGAGGGGCGCCCCTGGGGGGCCTTGGAGGGAGGGGTGCCCCTGGGGGGCCTTGGGGGGGAGAGGTGCCCCTGGGGGGCCTTTGGGGGAGGGGCGCCCCTGGGGGGCCTTGGGGGGAGGGCGCCTCAGAGCGGAGCAGCAGGGGAGCCAGCGCCTCCTGCTTCCCGTGGGGGTGGTCCCTGCAGGCCCGTGGACGCGGTGCTGGATCCTCTGTGTCCGGCCTTCCTGCTCCTGGCATGGGCCTGTTGCTTGTGCGGAAATCAGGAAGTTAACAGGCCATTTGTCTGCTGCCTCTGCTGGAGCAGGCTGCTTGCCTTCTCCTGAGATGGGGCGTGGGGGTGGGGGGGTTGGGGGGGCTCTCAGGGTCTTGGGACCACTCCCTTCAGGGCCCAGGACTTCTCAGAGCCCATCCTGTGAGGGGCTTGCAGCTCCAGAGACATCATCACCCTTGGTGATGAGGAGGGTCCCAGGGGAGCTGGTGAGCAGGGTCCCAGGGCCAGGGAGGCCACCTCTGCCCGGGGGGCCCCACCCAGCTCAGCCTCCTAGCTCCAGCCAGGCCTCCCCCCCCACATTCCTGGCCCCCATCCACCTGCCCGCACAGGCTTCTGGGGTCAGGCGGCCCCACAAAACCGGCTCTTCTAGCCGCCCCGCTTGGCTGGCCTCACCCAGGCCCTGGGGCGCTGGGGCTGCAAGCTGCACGGAGGAGGAGGCGGTTCTCGGGTCAGGATGGCGTCTGAGGCCTGTGTGAGCTCACAGGCTGCAGGGATGGAGGTGCGGGCCGAGCCCTGGGCTACTGGCTCACAGACGGCGCTATCCGGAGCCGCCTCCCTGACTCAAGCCCTCGAAGGCCAGCCTCTGCCCAGGGTTGGGGGGACCCTGGGCCCCCCTCCGTCCCTCCAGGGGCCCCCGCCCCACACGTGGCCCCTCTGGCCCTCCTGGGCCTGCAGACGGAGAGCCCGCCTCCAGGTCCTCAGGCCTCAGGCTGAGCGCAGAGCCTGGGGACACTGCCGCCTGCCCCCTAGTGTGACTTCCAGCGCAAGGGTCCCCGTGCCCCCACCCCCCACCACCACAGAGGGCTTGTGAAGCCAGGGCTGGAGCTTCTGCCTCCCCCACCTTCCCACTTCCTGCTTCCTCTCCTCCCCCTTATTTTCCTCCCCCTCCTTCCTCCTCTCCCCCTCCCCCATCTCCGCCTCCTCCCCCCTCCCCTCCCTCCTTATTCTCTCTCCCCCTGCCCCACCTCCTACCCCCTCCTCCTCTCCCCCCTCATTCCCGCTCACCTCTTCCCTGCTCCCCCCTCCATTTCCCCCTCCTCCCCCTCTCCCCTCCCCCCTCATTTTCCCTCCCATCCTCTCCCCTCCTTCTCAACCCCCTCCTCCCCCTCTCCCCTCCCTGCTTATTCTCCCCCTCCTCCTCCCCTCCCTGCTTATTCTCCCCCACCTCCTCCCCTCCCTGCTTATTCTCCCCCACCTCCTCCCCTCCCTGCTTATTCTCCCCCACCTCCTCCCCTCCCTGCTTATTCTCCCCCTCCTCCTCCCCTCCCCCCTCATTTTCCCTCCCCCTCCTCCCCTCCCTCTTCACCCTCCTCCCTCTCCCCCTCCTCCCCTCCCTCTTCACCCTCCTCCCTCTCCAGCTCCTCCCGCTGCACTTCCTCTGCTGGTCTGTCCTGTGAGTCAGCAGGGAGCTAAGAGTTTCTCAGCGGTCAGTCTACAACACCCCCTCTCAAGGCCTCTTTGCATCCGGAATGCTCTGCACCTGAGGCTTCCTCAGCAGCTGACTAAGAGGGGGCCACTGGCCCCACCCCGCCGACTCAGCCCGGCTTCTCCCCAGGGTGGGGGCGGGCAGGCTGGAGGAGCAGAGAGCTGACCTCAGGGCCAGCCCCCCACCTGCCCGCACTCTGCTCTGGGCTCCAGCTGCCCACAGGCGGGGTCTGCGCCCACGCCACCGCCTGGGAAAGGCCTTCGGGGCTCCCCTCCCCTTGAGCCCCTCAGCTGGGGGCGGTGGGTGGGGAGCAGGGAAGGGCCTGGAGTCCCTGCCCGTTTGGGGGCTTGGCTGTCTGTCCCCTCGAGAACCACCCGTCACAGCAGCTCACAGCTCGGTTCCCCCCCGGGCCCCCCCGGGCAGCTTCTCGGACCTCTCCCCTCACGATGGACACCTCCCGCCTGAGGAATTAGGCCCCAACCGCGGACACGGCCAGCCTCTCGTCAGCAGGGGGTGTGCCGTGGGGAAGCCCTGACGCAGAGGGTACCGGGGGCCCCCACCGCTGGGCTCCTGGCCGCCCCCCTAGACTCGCAGCCCACCCCCCATTTCTGAGGACTCCGGGGGCCTCGGGCACGACGCTGTCAGAGCAGAGCTCAAGTGTCACCTCTTCAGTCACAGAGAGCTCTCCCTGCGGCTGGTCACAAGGCTTCCCTTCCAAAGCTGCCTTCCTGCCTGCCAGGCCTCCTGCCACACCTGCAGAGGCTGTGACGTCAGCGTCAGTCCTTACTGCATCACAGGCGCCCCAGAGGGGGGCCTGGTGTCCCAGGAGCGGACCCCCTGGGCCCCACCTTGCTTCTGGCTGAGTGCAGAGGATGGGGGTGATGGGGTGACTGCGGGCTGAGACAAGGAGCGGAGGGGCAGGGAGGGGGGCGGGGGCCAGGGACAAGGCACCTAGGACGGCGTTCCAGACAGCGCCAGCCCCGCCTGGAGGCCCTGGGAGGCACAACCAGGCCCCCACCCAGCAGCTTTGCCTCGGAACTTCCGGACCAAGCTCGGCAAAGGCTCATAAATATTCATCTGAAAATTAAAGTCCTGTTAAAGAACTAACTCACTGCTGATGTTTGCAAATTACTTTTGTATTCATGCAAAACTACAGTGCCATCTCTGCTCCCGGTCTGAGGACGGGTGCCGTCTCCCGCCTGTCCCTGAGGACCCAGGTCAGTGAGGGGACCTCAGGGAGGAGCAGGGTCAGAACAATCAGCCTGGAAGAATGAGGTGGAAGAGAGCCAAAGGGATCTTCTAGAGCAACCTTGTAAGAACCACATGCATTTTACCCCATTGTTTCAGATTTTTCGGGTCCCCTTCCATCCTTTTTAAACATTCTATCGTGGATGCATCCAACCACACCAAACTCTAGAGGGAGGCCGTCAGGTCCAAACCCCACCACCTTTGTCCTGCTGCCAGGTCACGCCCTTCAGTCGCTCTAAAAGGTCATGAGTTCTTTCTTCTCACTCTCTTTTTCTCTCCTTTTCCACTAGCTACTCCTGCTCAACGTTCCAGGGAAGGGGAACATTTCTACAGAACCTAAATGTTCAGTTTTTGGGGGCTGGTTAAACATCTGGCTACAATCCAGCGGTGGCCCATGGACTCATCCAGGATAAAAACGCACACCTGCCTATACACATAGGACCGTGCCTGCATGCCCAACGTTCCGAGAAGACAAGACCAGGGCTAACAGGAATTGTCTTGAGGTGTGTGAGCAATTGTTGTTGCTGGTCAGTCACTCGGTTGTGTCTGACTCTGCGACCCCATGGCCTGCAGCATGCCAGGCCTCCCTGTCCATCACCATCTCCCAGACTTTGCTCAAACTCATGTCCATCGAGTTGGTGATGCCATCCAACCATCTCATCCTCTGTCATCCCCTTCTCCTCCCACCTTCAGCCTTTCCCAGCATCAGGGTCTTTTCCAATGAGTCTGTTCTTCGCATCAGGTGGCCAAAGTATTGGAGTTTCAGCTTCAACATCAGTCCTTCCAATGAACACCCAGGACTGATCTCCTTTAGGATCGACTGGTTGGACCTCCTTGCAGTCCAAGGGACTCTCAAGAGTCTTCTCTAATACCACAGTTCAAAAGCATCAATTCTTCGGCGCTCAGCTTCCTTTATAGTCCAACTCTCACATCCATACATGACTACTGTAAAAACCATAGCTTTGACTATACAAACATTTGTTGGCAAAGTAATGTCTCTGCTTTTTGATATGCTGTCTAGGTTTGTCATAGCTTTTTGTCCAAGAAGCAAGTGTCTTTTCATTTCATGGCTGCAATCAACACCTGCAGTGATTTTGGAGCCCAAGAAATTAAGTCTTTCACTGTTTCCATTGTTTCCTCATGAATTTGCTGTGAAGTGATGGAACCAGATGCCATGATCTTAGTTTTTTGAATGTTGAGTTTTAAGCCGGCTTTTTCACTCTCCTCTTTCACCTTCATCAAGAGGCTCTTTAGTTCCTCTTCACTTTCTGCCATAAGGGTGGTGTCATCTGCATATTGATATTGCTTATTGATATTTCTCCTGGAAATCTTGGTTTAGAACAAAATTTTTGATGGCCAGTGTTTTGTGAGTGATCTTTGAGAAGTATGGATTGGTTTTGCAAAAAATATGGAACAAGACAAGGATGCCCACTCGCACCACTTTTATTCAATGTAGTATTGGAAGACCTAGCTAGAGAAATTAGACAAGAAAAAGAAATAAACTAGAAAGGAAGAAGTAAAACTGTCACTGTTTGCAGATGACATGATATGATATATCGGAAACCCCAAAATGCCATCAAATAACTGTTTGAACTAATAAATGAATTCAGAAAAGTTACAGGATACAAAGTCAATACAAAAAAATCTGCTGCATTTTATAACTAATAAATATCAGAAAGAGAAATGAAGAAAGCAATGTTGTTTACAGTTGCATCAGAAAGAATGAATTTAGTCAAAGAGGCGAGAGACATTTATATTGAAAGCTACAAGACATTAATGAAAGAAACTGAAGACACAAAAAAGTGAAAAGATGTTCTCTGCTCATGGATTAGAATAATTAATACTGTTAAAGCATCCATACTACCTAAAGCAAGCTACAGATTCAGTGTCATTCCCTATCAAAATCCTAAAGGCACTTTTCAAAGAAAAAGAACAAATAATCCTAAAATGTATATGGAGCCCCTCAAAATACCCCAAATAGCTGGAGTGATCCTAAGGGGGGAAAAAATTGGAAGTGAAATAAGTTAGACAGAAAAAGACAAATACTATATGATTTCACTTATATGTGGAATTAAAAAGCAAAAACAAGGAAGAAGCTCGTAGATACAGAAACCGGACTGAAGACTGCCAGAGACAGCCTGGAATGAAGGCCTGGGAGAAATGAGTGAAGGGAATCACAGGTAAAAAGGAAGGGAAAATATTTTAATTACAAAATAAAATTAAAAGACAGATCGAAGCCACTGGTAAAAAGAAGCTTTCCCTTTGATGAGGTCACAGCCTCTCCACGGAGACTTCCAGCTCCTTTCATAGGAGCGACCGTCGCTAAAGACAGTATTTAAAGGTCAGTTGCATCTGAGTGTATAGATCTGCACTGTCTACAGAATAGAGATGAGAGTTTCTACCAGAATTAAAAATACTACACAAGACTTGAAAAAGCTAGCCAGTGATCTAAATTCAAGTCATGTATTTATGTATGCATATGTGTCTTCAATATAAGCTCATATTTTCACATACTGTTCATATGCATTCAAATCATATACATTGGTATACTATGATGTATGTCTGGGATAGCTCAAAATCCTTCAAGCTAGGCTTCAGCAGTACATGAACTGAGAACCTCCAGATGTAAAAGCTGGATTTAGAAAAGGCAGAGGAACCAGAGATCAAATTGCCAACATCCACTGGATCATAAAGAA